TTTTTTTTTTTTTTTTTTTGACTTTATTGATGCCTAAAATTTATACAGATGATTTCCTGGTTACTTTCAAAACGTATCGTTAATCGCATCGTACCTGCATCATGAGCTTCAACCTTGACTGAGGATCGACATCTCTCTTCTTCCTGATCAAGACGAAGATATTGTCAAGGTCGTTGCAACTAAGCAACAACTTATAAATTAGAACCTTCCCCATAAATCCAGAGCCGCCTGTGATGAAGACGTTTCGACCTTGGAACCATTCAGAGATCGATGGTACGTTTGATGCCATTTTCGAAAATTACCCTGCGAAAGAAATGACAATGAAACGGAGGAAGAGAAACGATTGGATAAGATCAATGTTATTTTTCTATTTCTTGAGAGAAAGTGAGAGAAAGAGAGAAAAGTTTAATTATTAAAATTAATGATATATTAATATTAATGACACTTATTACGCGTCTTTTCGTTCAGTTCGTCAACTTTATTGAATTCTTAGAATTGTTTTCCAAATAATGCTGTATTTTATCGTTAAAAACATTCGTGAAGTTTTGTACATATTAATTCTCGATGCCGTGTTCATTAATCATAAATTACAATTAATTTCACCTGTCCTTCATTATGCACATCCGAAATCAGTTAATAATGTGTTTCAATAATATTTACGCATTTATCGTTTAACGACTTTCTTTCTCCTTCGTGTGTCAATCGAGTAACATAACAAAATACAGCAGTAGTTCAAATTTAAATTAGCCTTCGTGTTTGCCACTTTCTAAACCACTGTGCAAATAATCTATAAACGAAATAATTTGAAAACTCTGTCTGGGAAGGATTATAAAATGTGTAGTCGAGAATTGGGACAGGAAAGCATCTTCCACAGCGATAACGAAAATTATTCAAGGCATTTTTCACATCTTGTTTGCATTTTTACGCAAGAAAACTGTAAAATTTTTCCCCCGATGATCATTTGCATATATATTTATTCACACTTCGGTAATAATTGCAAATAGTTTTCAAACGAAATAATTAAAACCGGTAGTGATGCAAACTTCTGAGAACATTCTTAGGAAAAGAAATCCCGTAGGTTTCATAATCCTTACCATTCCAATCAAATTTTCGAGAGATCAATAGAAATATCATGTATCTGATAAAAATCTTACAAAACCATATATATATATTATGAAAACCAAATGTATTATAAAAATGCTGTAACTACTATAGTCGATAATTTTTTCTATAAAGTAGTATCTTTCATGTCAACGAGGAAAAAATTAGAATGCAAATTTAATCGACGATGTTTTAAGAGAGTTATATATTCGTGTCTCTCGCTGTAAAGATACAATGGAATTTCAATTCAATTCAACTCTGTACGAACTCTTGAAAACTTGGTTGAATCTATTTATTTGATTCTTTCTATGTGAATGAAAAAAATCTCTAATAAAAGGGATAATTAAGAATTGTACGAATTCAAATTATATAAACTATTTGTTACTCGGTTTATATGAACTCGGACAAGTTCATGTAAATTGAATTTGATAGTGATGTGTCATCGTTTCGTTGCATTCAAGAAGAGTACAGTGTTCTTTTGGAAAACTAATGCTTTCGAAAACAAGGATATGTAAACCAACGATCGAGTCATCATTATTCATGAAACGGCAGAGACAGACGATGGCGATGGACTAGCC